ATTTGGAATCTGCACAATTCTGCAGTGTGAAAGTCATTGTTGCTTTGTCATCCAATCCACATGTTTTCGGTAGAGGCTTGCAGGGGTACGGACTCCAACATGATCTCAGACTCGTAGTAATGAGTATCAAAACATTGGAAAATCCATGACAAAATAGTAGACAATCATTGGAAAATCCACTAGAAAATCATTGGGTAGCATATAATCTCCAGCCAACAGTTTTGATTTCGGCCGCTGATCTTGACACTGCGGAAAAGAATGTGACGAGTTTCCTAAATGCGGGAATTTTCCGTAACCACCGGAATATACATGGGAATATGATCTAGAGATATGGCGGGTGATAGAGATAAGCAACATTTTGGAGCGAATGAAAAAGATACCCTCTGGTAAACGTTTACATAACTATGGAAAAATCCACCATGCTATCAATGGGTAAATCCACTATTTCTATGGTCATTTTCCAGTTCGCTATGCAACAAATTACCAGAGGGTATGGTGCTGTTTCCTACTTCAGTAGGGTACCATCCGAGTTGCTGGTCAATTGGAGGAAAAACACGTCATCGCCTCTCATAATCCCGTCAAATCAGAGTTGAGGAGACACACACAAACACATATCAATGTATATATATATATACACATAGATAATAAATACATATGTATATATATATATGTATTTATATCATACATACCTAGACTCTCAGGAATTCTTGTGTAACCCCATCAGTTGAGTACTTTCCCAATTTTTATGGGATTTTCTATGAGATCCATATGCACATACAATATTAAACCCTTCCGCCATCAAACCCCATAAACCCTGGTTTAGTAGGGGATTCACACCTATTTGAGACCATAAAAAGGGGGTGTTTGATGAATCTTAGGGGAACTATAATTATTACATACTGTGGATGGTTGCGAAATCCGACTCACCAGTTGAAAACGGTGGTAAACATCCCATGGATTTCTGGGGTTTCAACATGTTTCAACCATCCAAGGTGCTGCTAGGGACCCTATTTCTCCAAGGGACGCCACCGTGTTTGGATCATCGCATGACCTGCAGGGGCCCAGTCTCGTTCGCTGAGTTGGTATAACTTTGTTGTTTCACAAACGGTTGATGGTAGATATATCATTACATCTATAATTCATATGTTAACCATATGGGGATATAATTTATGGGGGGGATATAGTTAATAAACTAATGTTTATGCGAGATATTAGGCTATTATAAAAAAAACATCAATAGTTAAACGAGATTATATCACCGGGCAACCATTGTGAATATTCTGGCATTCAACACGTTCAAAGCAGGTTTTTGTTGTTTGATATTTTTAGAAAATAAGCAATCCCTTACTATTCCAGTGCATTATTATGTTTCCATATGTTTGTCCATGAAACCGTGTACTAAGACTCTATGTTGGTATGCATATGTATACAAATACCATATTTGAGTTTTCTTGGGTTCCGTAAACCCAAGTGTCATATTGTTGGTGCTATATCATGCTATATCTATCCGATCTATCGCTGTTAAAACTATATGGACATATCCACCATGATATCCTCAAACCACCAAATTCATGGGTTAAATATTCTCAAATTGGCCTGATCTAATTGATATCCCCACTTCTGGGGTACCTTTTTACATCGTTTTAGCCCATAAAAACAACACCTTCCCCATGCCAGCCTCCATTTGGGGACGTGTGGTTTGCAATGCTCCTCTTGTAGCAGCGTTTTGATCATCACTCGCTTTGCCTGGAAGAAACCGGCACCCAAAAATTGAATTTCCACATTGAAAAATGTGGAAATCCATTGGAAATTCATGGGAAAATGATGGGCTTTTTCCAAATCCATGGCTTTGAGGAAAATGATCTAACCATTCATGGTGAGTTGTCCAGATCTTTCAGTCCCTTTACGGCTCAATAGTCAAAATCATGGCCCAAACCTGGGATGCTTCTTCTTTATGACACAATGTCCCGCATGGTCAAACACACCACTAGCTGGCTTCTGATGTTTCGCCTGAATTTCACCTGAATATGTATAGTCATATAGTCTCATCTAGTCTCATATAGTGATATATTGCTGCACAACACATGCTCTACGTTCGACACATTCGATTGAACCGGACAACCGGTCGACGGTCAACCCACGTTCCGCACCTCGGTGAAGCGCCAGAGACATTGATCGGCCCAAATGTCCTGTGCGAATCGCTGCTTCGATGATTCCCATGGAATGTCACTTGGAGCCAATGATAACTCCGTAGACTCCGTAGACTCCGTAGACTCCGTAGACGCACGTGGGAAAAATATGATATTCACTGTTCATATAGAAACATTAGTACATGATATAATAGTATATGTTCATAAAAATGTTCATAATATGTTCATAACTATGGTATGCTATAGATATTCAATGTTCATAGGATATTCTGATACCATAGTCATAGGATGTCATAGGGATACACACTGGACTCCATGGCAAAAAAACTGTAGATCTTCAGATATGACGATAGGTTGTCGATGGATTGGTTCAGAGGCAAAACACAGCCAAAAAACAAAGTCTTCAATATCAAATCTTAAAGGTTCCTATCAAAAAACTCCTCATATTTCGGGAGGTTAGGAAGTGAATAAAACTTCCTAGGGCTCTGGTGGTGGGGTCAGCGTACCTGAGATATAAACAAAAACTACCCATGGATCAGTTTGCCTGATAAGAATGTAGTACCCGGTCAGTTTGCCCGATAAGAATTTAGTACCCGGACTAATGTGTATATATATATGTATACATAGCTATAATATGCCATAAATCTCAGTGCCAACCATAAATTTCGTGCACCTGACGGTCAGCACATGGGCCTGCCTCGCCCCACCACTCGGTGCAGGGTCCGTTGCACACCTTGGTCTGAGTCCACACCTCAGATGGGGAGATGGTTACAGCCGAGCTGGTCGCATTGACATAACAAAGGTTAGTGTATATACTAAGATATTATCGTGAATTATTGTATCAAATAGTATGTATTCAGATATTTTATAATCATATTTGTATATTTGTTGAGATATTGTAGTCATATCTGATGTACATATGATGGTATATCAACATGCTCATACCACCGGGGATCTCTTGCATTGGGTACATTAACATATAGTCGCCTACGAACATCCTGGGATGGTATAATCATTCAACTAGCAGCCCTAAGTCAATGCACCCATATCACTTGACGGTACAATCCCTCGATTTCTGGCACTGAAAGCCGTATTTTGACGGTTCAACCGACATACCCTCTGGCAATATTAATATACCATGAAAATGGTCAATGTTTTCCATTTGTAGATGCTTCCCCATTTCAACGAAAATTTGCAGGGGACTTTCCAGCTTTATGTTTGGGAACACCTGGATTTATTCCGCGGCAATTCGCCATTTTTTTCAAATCTGAGATCGTCACTCCTTTACAGTGTTCAATGCATTCCTGGCGCTTGTGATCCCTGAGGTCTAGACTGGGTGTGATAGGTTTCATGGGGTTCAAAGCGACTATTTACTGTAATCATGTTTGTTTGTGTATTATGCATATTATATATTATCATATATAATCAATATATATATATATGTTCATTAATAATATATGTATGTATGTATGTATGTATGTAAATATATATATATATATATGTATGTATAAATACGCACAACGCCTGGGCTTTGTTGCAGCGTAGAGGGTCCCCATTCCCAATCAAATGTTGTTGCAACTCTGCATTCCATTCGGAAGATCAACACAGGTATTAGGGAATATTAAAGTCCCACCACCGTTAAACTTCTACATTCATTGAAGATCTTCAATAAGGGTTTAATTCTCCCACCCCCGCTAAACTTCTACATCCATTTAAGATCTTCAATAAGGGTTTGATGATGATGATGATGATGATGATGACGATCATGATGATGATGATGATGATCATAATTGATGATCATAATTGATGATGATGTGTTGCCTGTTGTGGTTGCGGTTCCGGGCAAAGCCTAGGCATTTGCCGTATATATATACATATATCTATATATATATATGTGAGATAATATTAAAAACATTTATTTATGCGAACATATACCTATATGATAGATACAGTTACATATATCATTATAAATATATGAATATATATATATATTACAATACATTAAAACATAAATCACATGCCATCTCAAAAAACTCAAAACCATAGGGTCAAAAGGTAAAACCACCCTGGTTACCCGTCTCAGAGGTAACTGGAAGGTCAGGGATTGATAGTAATAGGAACCACTGAATGGTTCCACCAGAACTAGACCCGGTGAGTCAAAATGTTGCCCCGTGATCGTCGCCAAACTGCAGGAAATAAACCAGGTACCTTGGGACTTTCACCCGGGAAGATATCCATGTTGCGATAGATGGTTAAACATCCCCCTGGTAAACTAACATAACTATGGGAAATCACCAATGTTCATAAAATCAACTATACATGGACCATGTTCCATAGCTATGTTCAATTACCCGAGGGTATGCAGCATGTTTTAATTGTGATATTCGAACTTTCCACTAGGCCCTCCACAAAATATGCCAGTGTCAAGGGCTAAGGGCATCCTCCAAATTTTTGACGCTTCAAATATTTATATAATCCCAATTCTTGCTGGTGAACGGCGAAACCTTCATTTTTGTTCGTTCTGTCCACATTCATGGCTGGCTGAACCAAGCTACTAACAGCTTCCCATTTCATACCATTTCCGAGACCTATAGTTCCCAACAGCTCTCCCATAAACACTGGATAGACGATGTTGTCTTTATTCAGCAATTACCATACCGCAATCAAACATGGCGTGTCGAAAATGTCCCATTTAGAGTTCGATGATTCTCCCATGAAAAAAACACCTCCGTGTTTTTTGGGGGGATGTTCCATTGCCAGCAATGTTTTTTTTGGACAAATCCATCATCAAGTACAATGGGAATACATAGCATAAAACCCTCAACTATACATGATTCACTTCGATTTAGCTACAAAATCAATAAAGCCTACTATGAATAAAAAGCAAAAACAATTGTAAATAACGCTATAGAACCTACTATATAAATATAAATATTAATATAAATATTAATATTAATATAAATATAAACATATATGTATATATATATATTTATGCAAAATAATTCTTCCGAATTCACTTCGATAATTTTTCCAGCTATAAACCTCCATCTGTAGTGGGCATTTTCCAGCTCGTCACGTTTGAGGACACCGGAGGCTAAATCCAGTAGTGTGCGCCATGATGATCCATATTCAATATTCCACCAGATGAAACCATATTAAACAATGGATCATCATGGGATAACAACCATATAAAACCATATCAAAAAATACACAAATTAGATTATAAAACCATTTTAAGCAGGACTTGGCATTTTCCATTCCCATCATTAACCATCCCAATTACTGCCAATGTATGTCCATCCCATCATTGTCTTATTAAACCATATTAAACCATACAAAAACATATTAAAACATATTAAATTAAATCATATTAAACCAGCATGTTAAACCATACCAAACCACTATAAACAACTAATATCCTTATAAAACCGTGTTAAACTTCCGATTCCATTTTCCCATGGCCCATGATTGAGCCCATCCCACACACCTTGCCGTCCAAGTGAAAGGCACACGACTTGGCATTTTGACCTCGGACTTTTCAGCCGCAAAGCGAGGTTCAAAGATGTTGCCACCCAAAAGGGCTCGGGATCTGCAAAAAAAAATCTGGGTGTTCTAACCGATGCGATCAAGAATCGGGAAGAATCAGGAATTAAAGCAAACAACTAGCGATTTTTTGCCTTGCAAATATTGATATATATATATATATATGTATATATATATAATGATAATATAGTTAACGAGAATTATATCTATATATAGATTGGACATGATTGGAATATATATGCAATATAACTATATATATATGATTATATGTGTCTAGCCTATAGTTACGTTGTGCTATTTTTTCGATGTGTTGACGCAGAAGGAACCTTTAACACTCCAGCCATGGGCAACGCCGCAGCGGATTCTTGAAAGATCGTAGAAGGATCACATGGTCAAAATGACTGCAAGGACTGGAACAACTCGAGATCGTGTCCGGCGTGAGCTAGCAAAACAAAACTGATTAATCAAGTCTGTTGAAGGAGACATGGGATTGAACCATATTGAAGCAACAATATCGTGGTAGTTGTTCTCCAAACTTCTACGACATACATCCAACAATCACATCCTCGATATCCCCGATGTCCCTAGGGGCCGGGCCTAATGCGAAGAAGGCCCCTGAAGAAAAGATTTCCTGAGGTCCACGGGGCGCCTGGTTCTCCCCAATTTTAAGTCGGTTTATACACCCCAGAATGCTATAGATATCTCATGATTCTACAGGATTTTACAACAATATACCATATTAACCAACTTACTGTAATATATAATAGTTAACCATAACGTTAATACCAACGATAGTCAACCAATAGATACAGTTGACAACGTTATAAACCCACCAACATAACACCTTGGATCTCAAAGACCATCCCAATTGTTTAGCATGTTTTAAGGATGGTATAAACTTTATATAGACATGTACAAACCATGAAGCCATATATCATATATCGGTTTATGTATGACATTGCGCTACTAAGACTATGTGAATTTGTGGGGATGAGTTTTAGACTTCTCTTCTTTTGATTGGGGTTGGCTGAATATGTTAAAAAGGACATGACTCCAATATCTGATGGCGCTTGATCGGAAGATGACTGAAACGCCGGGTTCCTTGATACACAAATGCTGAGCCATCATATTGACTTTACTAGGACTCATCTGGGCTAACCTTAGATACCCTTCGAACAAGTTAATTCCTGCATGTGCTTCTGAAAAATAGCCCGCTACCATTCAGAAAGATTGATCCATGTATTTGCCATCTAGGCTCTAGGCTCACCCCTTTTAAAACGTTGCTGCTCGTATCTGCTTACCACTAAAAGAGAAGGTTTGTTTGCCCATCCTTGGAGAACAAAAAAAAGTCGGGTCGTTCGCATTCAGCCGAGCATCGATAGGACCATGAAGTCCATCTTTACAATTGTTCAGGTAGATGCCGTCTCCACTCAACTGGCGATGAAATCATGACATCGCGATACGCTTAAACAACATGGGAGATGTCAACGTCTGTGGACCTGGATCTCAAATTTATGAAGCCTCCAACGTCAAATTTATGCCAAGGTTAGCCCATAAAATGTCGACCAATTTATTTCTGGAGTACGTTGAGGGTCAAGTTGAGGGATATCACAACTTCTGGGGAATGACATGTTTCTGTTTCCAGTTGATAACAAGACTCGACTGCATTGGGATCAAACCCGCGGGGATATTGTATATATATATAATAACCCTGAATCTTGGCACACAAATGATCAAATGTTCATTTCGGAGTATGATATTATACAATATCACATGAAATATGCTAAGCGTTATATCCTTCTGTACATTACTAAGCCTGAAATCAAATGGTACTGGTACAAAATGATACAGTATCAAATTAATGGACTATAGACTATAGGTCTTCACAAAGAAAAGATGAACTCTGGACATACTAAGCCTCACAATTGGCCATGCCAGAACAATGCTCCATGTATGAAGCAAGCATCATTTGCTTATATATTGTGAACTCAGCCCATGACCGCCTTGCTATCATACTGTATCATATACTTCAAATCTCTAACATATCTCTAATATATATTATAATATATGTTGTAATCATCTTACATATATGCACATTTATAAAATAATACATGTATGTATCTATGGCGAAGCAACATTGGGCTACTATTTGGCTTCCACACAAATCCAAACAAAGCTGGGACACCATTCTTGGAATCATCCAAAAGACATCAAAACGCATCCCCATTAAGAAGTCCGATTTGTCAGAAAATATTGAGGTTGTAATATTGTATAATATACTGTATTGGTTGGTGACATCCAGTTCATTTAATAAAATTCATCATTCACCACAGTCAGTTTACCCACACACACACAATGCAATCAGCTTGACACGTAAGGTTTACACTCATTAACTTATCCAATTTCACCATCATGTGTACTTCTCATAGTCAGTTTCATCAACTTCGCCATTCACTAATAAAACCCATGGATAATCGTAAAACCTTTCGTAACTTTAGGGAGCTGGCTGGTAAGGATGTTGATTTCGGGCAACATAGCAACTGGTTGGTGGTTTTCATCTTGAAAAATATGAGTTCGTCAATGGTTGGTGGATTATCCCATTAGAATTATAGAAAATAAAAGTCATGTTTGAAACCACTAACCAGGCAAAGTATTAAACTCCCCTTCACCAAGTCTCGCATTTTTGATGGTTAGCGGTTCGCCGCTTAGCTACCATTGTGAGCATCAAGCTTCACACCCAGGGTTCGATCCCACGTCTTGTTGTGATCTACCAACTTCGAAGCTCGCTATTCATTCATCAATAGTATCCCCACCCTTCCATATATTGTATCCCTGATAATTCTCCAACCCCTAGATATCCACGATTTCCAATGTTTTTGGTTAAATCACTACTATATACTACATACTGTATGTAAATATAGTTCAATCACCATGTTTGCCCTATGTTCCCAGTATTGGTGCTATCTTGTTCTACAATGTGGGGCCCACTTTTTGTATACACGTTGACGGCCCGTCAGTGAAGTTTCATCCAGTAGAGTTCACGATCAGCCGAGCTAAAGATCGAGTTCCTAGAGATCACATGTTGGTTAAGTTGCTTACCCTCTGGTTAACATAGCCATGGTATAGATGGCCCATAGAAATAGATGGTTTACCTATAAATAGCATGGTGATTTTCCATGGCGAACTGTTAGTCATAACCAGATGGTAAGTCACCATGTTCCCATCTTGAAAGCCCTTCCAAGACGGGAATTGACTCATGGGAATTGACGACGTTGGACTTGCTCAGGCCCCATGTCTGCTGGATTTCCTATTAAAAATAAGATATAATGTGTTTAACAAAGCCATTCACAAAACCTATTATATATATATTTCCCCATTGAAACCTCCATGGATCCCATTGAAACCTCCATTTATAAGACCAAGGCACCCCCCATTCAAGATCTTGGAGCATCGGTCGAAGTCGCGAGGGGCTCCAAACTGTGTCAGGATCCACCTGAGCCACGGACGAGTCGAGGTCAGTCTTTGGAAGAAAGAAATGGGGTGTTCATAGTCATATTGGGAATGATCAAAATCCATCATATATATCTAAATATTATATATATATAATGTAATGTAATGTGATGTGATGTAGTGTAGTGTAGTGTAATGTAATGTATGCATGCATGCATGCATGTATGTATGTATACGTATACGTATATGTATATATATATATATATGAATGTACATATTTAAATATGTATATATATATATATTATATATTAGATATATGTATGTGTATGTATATATATATATATATATATATAAATAACAATACATATGGGGTTTCCATAGTCATGGGGAATCTACAAAAGGGGTGGTTAATTTATTAATTTCATGGAAGATCCATCTATAAATGGATCATTTGGAGGTACCCCCCATGACTCGGGAAAGCTCCAAATGGTGGAGACGTCCTTTTCAACATGGCTTTGTCTGCAAAAGTGGTATACCTTCTAAATGGCCATTAAAACATAGGGAAATGTAGGGAACATGATGATTAAGCAATAGATTTGGAGGTACCGTTGAGGCACACATGCTAGTGGGAAAGGAGAGACATTGGAATCTGCAAGAAGGTATGTGTCTAGCACAAAATGGTTCACTAGATTTGCTTCGAACATGTTTGCATCAACTAAAACACATTTAAAAACACTATACCGACTATACCCATCAAAGATGGTGAAAACTACGGGACATAAAACAATGGAAGTTCAGATGTTTCTGCGACTATGAACTTCTGTAAAGAGACGAAACGAACGCCTTGCTACCCAGTTGGAAGACTGTCAGCCAGGAGGGGGTCTGAAAATGGGCGATCGGAAAAAAACCCAATTGATGTTCATCTTAAGAGGGAAAATGATGGCAAGCTAGGGGATTTCTATATAGGCATGTCTGGAAATGGTGTATACGTGTATACACCTGTATATGGCCATCTAAATATGGAAAATGATGAGAATCCATTGGAATTGCAAGTGCCCTATTTCTAGACAAACCCATATTGGTAATTCACTTGCAGACAACTCCACACATTTGGAAAGCGAAAAAATGAAATCGATCAAAAGCTACCAGCTGGCCAACAACAAATAGAAGCGGCACAGAGTTATGATAGACCAAACTCTTTGAAACTGTTGTTTTACTTGACCAACATTCTTGATAATTACATCATGTTGTTGTTTGACTTCATGATTTTGCTGGATAATCCATTTCAAGAACCCCCTCGCAAAATCCTCTTGCTTATCACCATAGCTAGACCTACCCCGTAAACGGACGAATGAGTGCTGTGCACCCGGCTATTGATCAAGCTCTGTCCAGCAAAGTTCACACAGTATGATCCAAAATCTTGACGGTAAAATCATCTAAAAATGCAAATCCTTGATCGTTGTTGCTGGTTGTGTTTGTCTAAAAATGTGGGATTTAAGCCTCAGATATGGTCCATGTTTTTAGGATGGTTTAGGGTGTTTCCCGTTTTCCCTCACATCTTCAAACCAACTTCCTCAACTCAACCACGCAGCATTCACCTTAGTTTTAAATCAACAAAATTGGCTATCGATTTAGAATCTAGGCTGGCCCAGATGGTGTTTTCCCTTGGACAGATCTGACACAGCCCGTCGTTTTCCGCTCGCACCTTGATGACCCATGCAGCGCTCATAAATTCCTGATCTAAAATCACTTGCCTGGCCAGTGGATGTCGAATCCCAGTATCCCACTCAAAAGCCGCGCCTTGATGAGATCTTTCATGGGATTTCATGGGGGTTAGATGGGTTTAATGGATAGTGGGAGAGATTCTCGCTGAACATAGCTGAGGCTTTTTTTCCCCTTTTTCCAATTCCCATCATTCCAGTGATGTCACGGTGTCACGGTGAGGTCAGTATATTTCATCCAAATTAATATATGAAATGTATATAAAATACTAGTTGGATAAGAACGTGATGCCCAGTTTATCTCTACGTAGCGGTATAAATTTTATAAACCCACAATTTGTTGGTTACCAAACTGTTGTCTTTTGAAACTCACATGTGTTGACCTTCTAACATGAAAAACATGTTGTAATGCGGTAGTGCACCATCCCCATGTGTGCACTTTGGATGATACAGTCGACATACTCCTACACAATCAAACAATATCAAATACGTCGTTGTGCACAATGCAACGATGTCGACACCAACGGTTGATTGGTTCCCTTTGGGCCTGAACACAAACACCACCACATACAATTTTCTGATGCACCATCATGTTCCCCACAGGCGGGAAGCAACCATCACCTATTTATCACATCATTGTATCTTCACATCATCATATCATCATATCATACAATTAATCATCATGTTCAAATAGCCATGATACCGAGGCATTTTTTATCATCCACCATCATTAACCATCAGTACCATCATAGGCTGCTAACCCCCATAAACGGCTGAATTTAAAGCCTGACCAGATCCCGATCACAATTGCCAAACAAAATCCAGGAGCATTAACCAAACAAACCATCATAAACCATCAATCACTGCTTCTTGTTCCACCATGTTTTTGACAGTTCAGTCCCCTTTTTTGGGCTGGTGAAACATCGTGAAATATCAGATGTATCCCCATCTTAGCTGGTTTAAACAACGTTGGATTCGATCATCATGTTCAAAGACACCCAGCCATTTTTGATTTATTTTTTTGTGGTCAAACTCGGTCGTCCCTTTATCGTGGTTGGTTAAGAACGGGATTCCCGATTGGATTAACCCAGAAAGGTATTGGAACATATAAAGCCAGAACAAACCATGAATATCCATGAATCAACCATCGTTTCTCAGTTATATCCATTAACACATCCCCATAGTTGGATGGTTAAATCAACCACTCAGGGGTTTTCTCAGCCACTGCCCAATGGCTATCAGCATGTTTGTTGAAAATCACCATGTCATTACCATTTGAGCCATTAAACACCATTAAACATACCTCGTTTTCCCATCTCATGAAATACACATGTTGGTTCAACACGGTTTCCGAATCCTATGGCTTATCATACTCCCCAGTCAATTAGATAGTCTAAGTCCCTATGGTAAACTAACATAACTATGGAAAATCGCCATTTTAAACGGGTAAACTATCCTAACTATGGAAAATCACCATTTTAAATGGGTAAACTATCCTAACGACGGAAAATGCGCATTTTAAATTTGGTAAACTAACCTAACTACGGAAACTCGGCATTTTCAATTGGGTAAACTAACATAACTATGGAAAGTTCCAACAAAGTAACCAATCAAGCCAGCATTTTGCTTGTCATTGGCGCCTGTAGAAGGCCAGGAAGATGCCCAAGTTCAAGGCGGTGATGAACCTTGGGAGCTTTCGCTGGTGTTTTTTTTGGGGGGGGCTTGGAACTGTCATGGAATTCATATCCATGATACAGTTATGGCCATTTACCAGTTATAACTGGCTATAAATGGGATTATACATTCTATAAATGGGGTTAGAAGTACTTATAACTGATAACTGGCCATAACTGCATGGATATTCTTTGGGATCATATCCAGAAATGGTGGAATATTTCACTCCAACACATATATTCAATAGGTATGTGTCTAGAAAAAATCCAGGAGGTTTCCGACTAATCATGGGGCTACGATGGATGTTCCATGATCATAAACCATCCAGCGATAAAGGAGTTTTCCCATGACTTCGGAAAGCTCCATTTTTTGGAAACGTGAAAAGGTGATGGTTCCAGCGGGAATGAACCACCAAACATGGAGACGTGCACAACTAGCAACTCACCTTAAGCATCCCAATGTTTGATAAAGGTTGTTGGTGTCACTTAACCCCCATGTTTAGTTGATGATGTTAATGTTTAGTTAATGCAACTAACATGGGACTGTTTGATAAAATTTGTTGGTTTCACTTAAATGCAATTTTCCCTGATGTCCATATTATGATATTTATATATATATATATATTATGCGTCTTTGTGCGATCATCTTTGCTGAAAAGACTACAGGCCGGTGTGTTGAATGACGCGCATTTCACCGTGTTTTGGCGGACACACATCTGGACTTGCTGGACTTGATAAGGGATTCCTGTACAAAATTTCGGTTTAGCGAACTGAAATCAGATCCAACCTGTAACCAGTGTCACCAGCAAAAAGGGGGATTTGCAATCCAATCAGCTCAGACTACTTTGGAGCAGAATGGCTGTTTGAGATTCCTAGTGCAACACCCTGAGCTTACAGACTCTTCAAAAAGATAGCTAGTTTACTGAGACGTTAACACATTGCCACATCGCTGATGATATCACATTCCTCCAAATTACCAAACATTTAAAACATGAACAAACCATGAATCCCCAGTTGGTTTCCCAGATGTTCATCTTTAGTACCCATATGTAGTACCATAAACTTTGAACCAGATGATGAACTATCCAACATATAGTGTATTTAGTATAAATACAATTATCATATAGATATATGCCATAATGTATATATATATATATATATATATACACTATCCAAAACATCAACAACAATCTTGGTAATTATCATGGATTCTTTGCCGAACCACGTTGAAATCAACCACCTGGTCGCCTCATTCCATTGGTGCCCCGACTGGCCACCCAACTCGCACATCATGGGACTATGAATTCGCCGCGTCACCACCCTGAACCCGAAACCGCAGAAGGATAAAGAAATACAAGACATGGGTGCATCCACGCACATATGTGCGATTATATATATATATCACATAGAATAGTTCTATGATAAGTCTATATAATAAACGTACACATATGGTAAATATAGAATATAAATTCACATAGATCAATCAATAGATTGTATGAATACTATAGCTTTATATATGTAATTAATCATAATTACAGTATACATTTATCCGTGATCCTGTGATCCTACTAAACGTGGTGCTTAGAGTTGAAACCAACAAAAACCTCACCGTGAATGAATTGAAATGTTTGTTGTGCAAAATGGATGGGTTAATGGATGGATTTTCAGTAGATCAAATTCATCAAATAGCAAACCATAGTAAAGTATGAAGAAGAAAGTTCCTGAATAATCAGGATTTATGGAGATTCTATTGAAAGATGGGGCTTAATACTCAATAGGGATTGAATATAACATGGGATTCAACCGATCTACCATCCAAATATCTCCAATCAAAATTCCAGGGAGGTACCTAATATATGTAAGGCCTATTTTTTAGGCCTATGTAAGGGAAGATCCCAGCAAAATATGGCCTTATATGGTACTAACGTACCTCCATTTTAGGATCCTGAATTTCCCATTGACCAGTGTTGAGGTTTCAGCCGCATAGTTTCTCGAAAAAATGTCCCATGAAACGGCAGCAATACTCAAAAATCCAGTAGAATCCTTGTCCACCTCGCGCCCAATGGTTGCGACTCTCCTCTAGTGATAGATCAGTTTTTTTGGAATGGTTTGTCTTACAACCCCCTTAAATCCATGAAAATCCCAATGGTTGACTCTCCTCCTCTATTGATAGATCACCATTTTTGGGATATTTTTGGAATCCAATGGGTTGATCATCACTTTCCGTATCTAACATCGCTGGGGACCGCTATACCTACCGTGACCTACTGAGCTTCCTGAGTTTCCTGAGCGCCCACGCCCAGGCTGGATTTCCAGCAGTTGGTTGCTATACAACGCATAGCTGTCACATGCAAAAATCCCAGCCTTAAGAGCGTCGACGCTTCAGATGGTCGTGGTAAGCTTCATGTCTAGATGTGTTGCTGCTGCTGCTGCTGTTGTTGTTGTTGTTGTTGTTGTTGTTGTTGTTGTGGTCGTGTATATATATATATGTATATTCACATAATTCACATATATATAAATCAAATATTATATATATATGTATTGATATTGGCATACATCGATGTCTCCACATGTATCTATCTCTTTTAAGATCTCCATTTCGAGCGGTTCAGACGTACGTGAATCCCTGTGGAAAACCTCAGCGTCCGGACGTTCTGTTCATGTTGTAGTTCCTGTGGCGCTGTGGGGAGTTCAGTTCATGGAAAATGGCCCATTTAGAGATGTTAAACTGATGATTTACCCAGTAAGAAAGGCCATTTTCCATGGCTATGTTAAATAACCAGAGATAATATTATCATATAATATAATGTGGATAGTACAGTAATATTATCCATAAATATTGATCAATCTGATATGGCCCATAGTAATATGAATCAAACCATGTTAAAACCTGTGCCAGCGTGGATTGGTAATATCAGTTCAAAACCAACATAGCAAACTATAAGATGGACAACAAAAGCAATGTCCTGGAGAAATTCTTCATCCTAGATACCCTAAGTTTTGGTGGCCAAACAAAACAATCCCATCGATGGCATGGCTGGTTCTCAACTAATCAATCCCTACCCCGATCATATGAAATAATTGGAATACGAAACCAGGGTTTTCATTGCGGGGGGGCATTCGATGTTTGGGGATGAGATTCATAGAGTTTCGTTATTTTTTTGTTTGGCCTTTTTTTTATGGGACTTTTCCAGAATATCAAACCACCTGATTGCGGCCACTTTTTGCCTGTCTAACCCTCCAAGTTTCGGAGCAAATACACGGTGGTTTAAAACAATTAATATATCAACAGTTAACATGAAATCAACCAAACGCCAACGACAGTGGGTTCCTTCTGATAACCATTCCGCAACAAATGGATTCACCAATGGATTCATGTTGAAAATTCCGAACCATGTCCAAAACATCAAATAAATTTCAGCGTCGAAACATAAGTCGGAACAATCGCCCTGAGTTCAGCACCACTAAGCGTTGCTCATCTGTCCATGCTCGGAACAGCATGACGCAATGCCTCGGTTTGACCAAAAAAATAACGGCATGCCCGGGCCTAGAAAAATCAGTGATTGATTTGTGTTCAACTTGTTTGGTTACAAATTTGATCTTAAAACGTTCGGTGAGTTAGTTTCGTGGGTTTTGAGTCTGGGTTTTGACTGGTACTATATAGAGGTTTTTATTCCATGCTCAAAACAACGATTTGACTGATTTTGGAAATGATGAACCATGTTGAGTATCGCCATGACTTACGCTTTCTTGGAAATATCATGATTGACCCATTCCGATTTGACCCATGGGATCACAAAACGAGTCGCTATCATGGGCTCAACCCGCCCTTCTCGATCACATAGGCAGTGTGAATGTTTTTTTTCGACTGAAACACATGCAGCACAAGTGGGTGGGTTGCTTGTCAAAATTAGTGGGACCATATGGTACTCCAGATTCGACCAACACTGGCTATTTTAAATTTGTTGTTTGGGTCCTGGGTCCAGAATTCTGTGCTGAAAAGGGTGGATTCCAATGATCATGGCATCAATGACATATACCCTCTGGAATATTCATATGTAGCTATGGCCAAGCATCGCTTGTCTATGTGCTTAAATCCGTGACATTGAAAAAAAACCGATCTGAATCTTTGCAATCGCCAAAACGTACATGCACAAAGGTTGACCGAACCGTCTTTGTGGCGCCCTACAAACAAGGTGAGGCCCCTAGTTCTAGGTTGGATTACGCCGCATACACCTAACCGTTGATCTTGAAATCGGACCATTTTACAGTAGATGTATATCCATCATAACTGTGTGGTTACAACAGAAACACACCAAAAAAAAACCACAACTTGGTCTCCGTTCAAAATTATATGGGTCATATTCCCATTGTTCCTAGTTTTCACCTGTATTGGTGGAGCTTGTATCCAGGGCTGATGTTTTGCCATACCCATAAGGTTCTATTAACCAACTTATACCCACTATAATAGGTATCTATAGATCGGTAAACCTATTGACTTGAGGGTCAAACTTCGTACAAACATTGACAAATTCATGCCGGGTATGATTGCCCTTACCAACAACAATCTATGGTCACGTTCTGGTGACGTAGTTTTTTTCATTCACCCAGTTTATTTCTCTCTCTCTCTCTCTCTTTCTATATATATACCTGGAACTTCGTGCAGCCCCAAATAAAGATCCGAGGTCTGACTTGCACAAAAAAACATCCGAGGTCACAAAAAAAATCCGGAACCCAAAAAAACATCCGAGGGGGCATGTTATGATTTGTTCAAACCAACATGCGGTAGCCCGGGGACCTGTAGGCATCATCTTGCTCAAATCATTTGAATGTTGAACACCTGTTTCCAACATGATTTAGACATGATCTTCAGGAAAGTGGCCAGTGAAATGTTGAAAGAAAAGTTCATTCCAATGTAAAGCAATAATTCATTCTAATCTATTTGTTCTAAGTTCTAACTCAAAGCAACTGGGACCCATCAACCTCCAGCCAATCCCAAAGACCGCTAGCTTCAAAATTTGAGCGCCTCACCGGTTCCTTCCAAAATGGTCCGGCCCCCCAGCAGGAGCAATGGCAAGGAGGATGCCCACGTAAAGCAACAAATAGATACAAATAGATTATTTAGTCTGTTGTTGTCATGTCCCCTCGAAAATAATTACCTGGGAATCCTCTTGTTTTTCAAACCATATTTCTTTACAGTTTTTTTTGATTTGTACCTTTGATACACAGCCCGGCATTTAATCAAATAAAGATCGAGGCTTCGCTTGGCCGGGGTTTGGGGTGAAACACGTCGACTGAGTCGGGAAAGTCGGCCTACTAGATCTTCACACATCTCACAGTTCCATATGTTCGGGTTTAAAACCCACTTGACAAGTGGGTCCTTCAGCTGCACATACAAGTCATATTTGGTGTGCATCAGCATGTGTTGCTTTGCTTTTTTTGCGAAGCCAGGAATTCTGAATTGATACAAGCACAAGTGCGCCAAAAGGTTGTATTCTTGAATGAACTGATGGAAATGTTCGTAGAGAACTGCGCCACAAGTTTTTGTAAGCCAGAGCCCATGCCCATAGACGATCCTTTCCCAGCCTTTCACATGGTTGACTGCTCTGACTATGCTCTCTAGGGCTCCTCTATGGACTTCATTCCCCATGCTGTTCAAAACTGCAACTGCAAGCACCTTCAACCAGCTGAGCATTAGAGTCACATCACTCCCTTTGGCATTGACCCAAGGATAATGCCAGCTGCGTGTCATGTTGAAGAAAATCGGGGTGAATGAATGAAGAGCTGGGTACTGAGAAGTAGTTTTGCAATACCAAATGAAATGAGAATGTGCTCGTAGTAGAAGAACATCACGGCTGTTGCCTTCCCCTCGTTCATGAAAATACCCAAAGTGAATAATCATCATGACCGCACTGCCCACAAAATCTCGCAGCATGCCAACCTTTGTATTGTGAAACAAATCAGATTTTATGATTGCTTCAGGCTTTCCAGGATTGCAAGGAATTTGCACTATTGAAGGAACGTTTTCCTCACTCCAAGGCCTCGTAGGGAACAAAGTTTGACTCCATTTTGGTTGGTGGGAGGAATCCTCCCATGGGACCTCAGCCGATCCAGCAGCACACATGTGACACATGCACATCACATGCCCTAGCTGCTTATTAAAGCAGCGCTCCAAATGCGCAGTCTTTTCGTGCCAACGTAGATCGCCCTTGAGGCCGACCACGCAAAGATACCATCTGTCAGATCCAATAAGCACACCATCATTGAACAACACCTCAAAGGCTGCACATAGCACAGTGAGGAATTCATCCAACACACCAGTTCCTTTGTAATACTTGTTGGGTAGTACCCCCAACACAAACTTAGTCAAATAGCTGTGCTCCTTGAGGTTGGTCACTTGCTTCGCACATGGAGGCACGTCCATACTGTGATGCTGGGTGGTCTCAGGGCCTAGCTTAAAGCGTTTTGCCCCTTTAGCGGAAACTACGCATTCAGAACAGGTAGTTGAATCCCACTGGGCTGATGGATGTCGCAGACCCAGAACAGTTTCCATGCTGATGATGCAAGTGTTGCCTTTTTTAGCACCCCTTCCCTCATCTCCATGAACAGCAAAAGCCAAAGTGTTGGACGATGTTCTCCCTGGGCAATCTTCTTGGAAAAAAATATGTTCAGGATCGATGGCCCTGTAGGAAGCCCAGAACGATTCCAAATTTTTCCGGCCTTGGCATCCATCAATGCCACCCATGACCAGCTGAGGGGCTTTCTCAAGTAGATACTTTGTGAAGGATATGGGGCTCAAGTATGAAAACTCGTAACTTTGTCCGGATTCCTGGTACTTGAAGAGCGAGTATGGGACCCTCCAACTCAAACCCCACCGGTTGATAAAGGCATGAGCATCCCTGGCAGAATTTGTTGGCGCCAGGTTCTTCCCACATTCACCCATCTCAGCCCTGGCAAGGTCGCCGTAGTGGCGCAAAGCAGCTGCTGGGACCTAGGAAGGCCAGTGGATTTGGAAAGCAAAAGGGGGCCTCACTGCTTCAGGCTTTCACTAGATTCAAACACCAGGTTTCCTACCCCATCCGCCAAAATTTCAGCATAGTTCTGGCTGGTATCACCAGGTGCACGTTCGACCACACCTGGCCATCAGCATGTTTTGCTTTAGGAAATACTGTCTTTCTTAGTGACACTGGGGGTTAGTGCAGCAGGCAACTAAACATTTTTTTCCGGAGTGCGAGTTCAACAAGCTTGTGTTAACCCCATGTAGAATTATCAACGCATGCTCATCACGCGTTGGCCATCAGCCAGTTCTTGCCGGGCCTCAAACAACAAGCTTGACTGGAGGTTGTGAAAGTTCATCCCAGGTTGAGAAAAGAGCCGGAACATTTTGTGGAACAAAAGGTAAAGTTTCAAACATGTGCCGGGCAAATGGCCGGAAACCCACGGCTGTAAATCTAGATTAGCAACTAGCCTAATGCTTTGAAAAAAGCATCTTGCAATGCCAGTGCACTGATCTACTCTGCTCACTGCGCCCTCTTTCGAGGGGCAGTCTTGGCCTTAGCCTTTGATTTCGCTTTCGCTTTCGCTTTGGCACCCGGCTCACCACCACGTGGAATGAATGGCCTGGCCAGGTTGATGGCGAAAACCATCTATGGTGCTGAAGCTGCGGGGATGAAAGCTACGTATGGTGATGATGCTGTGGGGTCCCAAGCCTCGCTCGGTTCTCCAAGGCCAGAGACTCAGATGCCCTAGGATCCAGTGACATAGCATGTCAAGATTTCACTCTGATTCCTGGATAAGAATGCATACGCTAAGGGCTGCTCTGTGCACCAGCATCATCGATCAGCTTTCTCAAACGAGCTTCTGTCCTTGGCATGTCAGCTGTGGGAATCCCCCCAGAGGACATGAGGCATTCTATGGCATTCTACATCCCAAATTCTTGAATTGTAACTGGTTCCTTATAATCCAAATACATCCAAAGTCTCTCCTTCGAATACCCATTGATCACACCAGCGGAGTACTCATCCGAAAGTGTTCCATGCCACTTTTCCAAGGCCTTGCACGAATCCTTGATGGCAGTCTGGAGCCTCAGCCGAAAAGGCTCTTGCTGTAAGTAAGTTTGGGGACCATGGGCTGGTCACAGCAGTGCTGTGTATTGCACCACTTGGGCAATTCCAACAAACCGTTGTTGCAATTCCGTTAGAGCCCAGTCAACATTGAACTTCTGAGCAAGCTCTTCCATCTTTTTGATTCGTTTGCACAGAGCTGTCCTTGGTTGGAAAATGTTCGATTTTTTCAGAATGGGGTAGACATAATAAACATCAATACAGTGATGGGCCTTTCTGCGACCAGAAATCGTGTAGCTTTGGACTTGGGCACTGGGCAACGCATCCGGGTCTAGTTCTGGAATCCCTAGGGTCTTACGTTTCTTGGCAGCAGCATCCACCTTCTCGGACTCATCCAAGAGCTGCTGCGTCTCGTCGCCTGCCACAAAATCCCCAGATGAATTTGGAATGTGCTGTTTGGTTTGGTTATGCTAATGCCAAATTACTGAATGGTGATTGCTTAGGGGCTAATAAACAAGATTTAAAAAACACATAAGTTTACCCAACAAAAGAGCACTTGGCCTTTCCAAGTTTCTTCGAATTGGCTTGGATGATTCAATTTATCAATTCAAAAGCATGGCTGATAGTTTGGTAAGGGATTCTGGGGTATTGGCCCACCTTCAACCGCAGATGCATCTGGCATCTCAAAGCCATTGTCCATGCCATCGATGCCGGACTCTTCAAAGCGTGCCCTCTTGCTCATTGTGAGGCGGGATCTTCTCCTAGGAAGAAGACAACATGGTTTGGGGAGGTATGCATGGATGCTGCAGTTGGCAAACCTATCAGGCCCCTCTTCTAGTACCAAGATCCTTCTAGTGCCAAACCTTAAATAACCCCAATCCACTTCCACATACCACACCAAGATTCTTCTCAGTACCTTTGATGCAACGTTCGACGTAAAAAAAGCAGGGTCTTCTCGTAGATGTCTTTCCTGTGAGCAGCAGCATTGGCTGACCCAAGGTCACAAAGACAGGAAGGGAGATACCCAAAGATACCAGCCATGCCCGGCACCTCAGAAGCTTAGTAGGATTGGTCTTGCAGTGCTCTTTCACAGCGGTGATTCGCTGCCTCAGCAAAAAGCGGCAGGTGGTAAGCGACTATACTAAATAAATCAATATATATATATTTTTATACATATTATATAACTATATATATTATATGGAAATGTATGTGAACAAATGAATATCATATACTGTAGAGTTAGTATTTTATATATATATATATTTGTAATATAGAAATAGATACTCTATATATTTAATATCATGTACTGTAGAGTTAGTATTATACAGATATAGATATAGAAATATATTATACATATATATATATATAATTTAAATATGTTTTTACCCATTTATCTTGTTGATGTTCATATACTTATACATCTTATCTTATGAACGTTTTCTTTGTTTTCAAAACTATATAGAATATTTTATGTACATGTATTATTTCTATTAGTAAACAACAGGTATATAAAGATTCTATGTAGATTATTTAGATTATTTAGATATATTTTAGATGTAGCTTGTAATAAGATTGAATATCAGCAAAAGAATGTAACTCTTACTATTTACTACTTTGTTCAGGCCTAATAAATATGGTACGTCTCAAAATGAGGTGCCCTTTTTGGCCCCCAAATATGTCCCTTTAAGGTAAAAAAAGGGCACCTCAATTTTGAGACATCCCCATATAGCAAGATATAAATTTATATTATATAAGCATATATATTTCAACCAAAGTACTCACTGAAGCCCCATTCAACCATTTCAGCCTCCGAAGCAAATTGGCCCTCCACAACCACTTCGGTTTCACGCATCTCTTCACGTAAGATCTCCACTTCAGAGATGAAGGTTTCCTCGGCGATGAGCATGTGCTAAAACATTATTTTTGGGGGTGAGTATGTGTTTCAACCAGGGGCCACAGAAATCAAGAGTTACCCTTCCTTCTTACACCTACACCACGAGATCTAATTACATGGTTACATGGTTTGGCAAAAAAGAAAAGTGAAACTTGTCTCACAGACAGGATTCTGGGGAATATCCACATTGACGGAAAATCTGTTCCAACAGTTTTCTCTCTTTTCCCTTACCCTTCCACTCGTCAAAGATAACTTTGGACACCTTCAATGTACCATCCACTCTGGGGGTGAATATGCGGTTGGCACGTTGGCGGATTGCTGCTGGAGAAATATCATGAACTTGAAGCTGCGGCTTTGGAGCTTGCTGATCCGCGATCGAGGGAACCCCACTCAAAAGGATGCCATCCTGGTCCAGAAACGGTTCTGGTGTTGAGGGGGTATGGCCACCATAGGATGCGGTCGGTTCAACTTCTGTCGCAACAGCCACGACCTTTTTTGTACTAGGTCTGGGGACTGGATCAACTTCCTTCTTGACAGCCACCAAAGGGTTTTTACTAGCTCTGTGGCCTGGAGCAACTGGGCCTGGAGTCGCAACAGCAACAGGGGGCTTTGGCAGATCACGCGGCGACAAGCCCACGTTGGAGTCTGCCTTGGGGACCTCCACTTCCGGCGGTTGCACAATCCCATCCTCATTGAAATTCAATTTTTCCATGTCAACATCAGAATCACTTTCATCAGGGGTAGCATAACCACAGGTCAAGGGGGCATTGGAGATGGACTCACGGTAGTGGTGACTCTCACCCACCTCGGCACCAGCCCCCACATTCCCAGCAACTTGAGGTTGATGAGCAGAAGAAGGTCGCGAAGCCTCAAGAGGCCGAACCGGTGTGGGAATTGGCCGGCTCTTCTCATTGCGTGCCAGCCACTCTTGCAAAGCCTCAGAGCAGCCAAAGGGACCTAGATAATATTTAAGATAACCACTAAGAACCACATGGATGAAAAACAAAAAAGATAACCACTAAGCACATCCTGGGTACAGCCAGTTCTTGCGTCATTTTCTCTTTCTCCGAAGGAAATGGGTCCGATTTCATTGCATTGGATCTATCAGAAACCATTCCCATAGCAGCATCCAAACTCGAGGAAGACCATGCGTTGCTCTGCATTGGCTTCATGACAAACTATCACAAAAATAATTGGATCCCAAATGGCTGTTGGAAGATAAGTTTTTTTCAAGACAATGAGACAACAGTTCCAACACAGTTGCAACATATACACAGACCAACTCACACAACAAGTTGTTTCCATTTTCTACCTGGGAGTTCGAGGGGTGAGAATCTTGTAGCAAACGTCTTGAGCACTAAGACAACCACATTTCCACTCCCAAGACTGGACGATGACCCCTTTTTTGGGCCTGCCCAGTGGTAAACTGGGATAGTCATGAATTTGGTACTGAATGGTGGTCATGCCATGGGTCAACAAAGAACGATAATCATAAGATACACAAAGATGATTCGAGTTTGGTATGTTATCTTTTGTGAAAATTTTGTGTAAAACCAGAGTACGGGAAAAAACGCCTGTGTATCGGGGAAAAACGCCTGTGGATTGGGTAAAAACGCCTGGGGAAAAATTACTTTTTTTTGGTGTGCCATGTCAACCACCGCTTCATTGAATTGAAAGGCCACCATTGAATTAGTTTCACACGGTTATCACAACCGTGACGGAATCAAAGGTCGAAACTCTGCTGGAATGTTCAGCTGCTTGCACCCGCGCAGGTAATGCAGCGTGGATTCCAGTTCAGCCTCATCCCAGGTGCTCCAAGGGTATTCGCCGAAAAGGACATGGAGCGGGGTGCGAAGATCAACCTCACAATCGCAGGTCTTTGCAGCGCGGGGACTATACACTTGAAGCACTGAAATTCATGGAACAAGGATCAAAGACTAAAACCAAAGATTGAGTTGAGTGGCATCGTGGTCCCATTTGGGTTTTTCCGATTGTATGGCCGGAATCAACCCCACGATTGCTCTTGCGAACCCAGGAGGATAGACCCTTAGTTTCCAAGAAGGGGTTCGAATCAGAAATTGTCACTGCCTTGTGTTATATATAACCTAGACCTTTCGGAAGCTTCCAGAAACAAAGGAAAAATATTCCATTACAGCTAAAATGCTGTGTAGAACGAAGTTGTGGTGTTCCTTGATATCGTTGTTTACCACTGGCATCTGTATATTTCCTGCATGTTTTCACAGGCCTTTCTTTCACACCCCTGGGCTTACTAGTCTCGAGCTTCTGGATTAGCTCTGTGTTCGCAACCAGCATCGTCGGTTTGGGGCAACGGCCCCCATAGCTCTGCATCCACAGCTTGCATTGAAAGACCTGGACCGGTGGATATTTGGTGACACCATTCTGTTTTGCACAAACCACCTTTACTTCTTTTAAGTTGGGGCCAGAACACGGAACAAAGGTCACCCCAAAAAGCTGAGTGAATACATCTTTCAATTCTGGTTCTTTTGGGACCCAAAAGGATTTGGTGGTTGAAAAGCTCAAAAACAATTACCACTCTGAAGTGTTATTTTTTGGGACCCAAACGGTGCTACCAAATTTGGGATTTGGTGGGTGAAACGCTCAAAACGAATTACCACTCTGAAGAGTAAATTTTTGAAACTGAAAATGATTTCCTTCCTTCCCCAGAGGCCATTTGAAACCATGATTTCTTTTTTGGATAACCACTCCCCTCATGGAAAATGATGTTTCCTTTCCCTGGTGATTATATATTATTATATATTATGCCAACAAATTTGATTGAATTGATTATTGATTCTTGGATTGCTGGTGGATAGCACCAATTCTAGACATACAACCAAGCCTATACTATTGACCCTCTCTAGCTGCTTTAGCCAATCCCCACCTTCACTCCAACCCTCCTCAACATTCTGAAGGTTTGTCGCATCCTATGGAACAAGATCATCAAGCTGGAGAACGGCTGCTCCAATATGAAGGTTGCATCCATACAAACTATCAGGAGGATCAGTAGACAAGTCCTGACGGGAATTTCAGAACACATGGCGAAGCAGAACCAATGGTCAGTTTAACATTTGCAGAACTTGTTTCTCAACCCGCTCCGTGTCACTTGCTTATTAGCTTTTCTGACTGAAGCGTAATGCCATAAGCCAGATGGAGTTAGAACCGATCTGCGACTTGTCCCTACGTTGACAGCCACCCATGTCGAGCAAACAGTGGCCAGCATCATCAATAGCTGGGCGAACTTGCCCTGCAATGCCAGGCTCACCATCAACCTCAGCTTCCAACAGGCAGCAGGAGCATCCGCAGGGATAGTTTCACATAAGAACATGTCAAGAAGAGTAATCGAATTGATTTGGGGAGGAGCTGAACCCTGGTAGAAGTTTTCCCATTCTAAGAAACAAAATTTCCCAACTTGAGCATGGCAACGCAAAACCAACCTCTCCATTGATATCAAATCTTGACCTTTTGTGGCGTCCAGACTTGCGTTGTGATTCTGATCTTGCATCCGGCTGGTGATGTTTGATATCACAGGCTGCACTCTGGAAACCAAGTTTGGAAGCAAGTTGGCTGATCCGGCCAACCCCACAAAAATAATCCAAGACATCCCATGGGGCATCAGGTTGGCTCATGGGTAGCCAGCTGCAAAGAAGGATCAGGAGGATGAAATCCTCAGGTGGCTGCATGTTTCCCCAGGAGAAAAAAAATCACCGAAGGGATGTCTCAAAATGATGCGTGCCCTTTTTTAATCTTTAAAAATGCATTTTGGGGCTCAAAAAGGGCACCTCATTTTGAGACATCCCCGTAATATATATATATATATATTAGTTACATTGAATTTGAATCGTAATAACTCGTTGTTGGAATTTGTGATTCTTTTTATTGATCAGTGAATGGATGTGGTACTTGTTGTAAGGATGGCGTTCCCATTCATACCGAGAATCCTTCGGTGCTGACATTTCCATCAGCCGTCGCGCTACCAAATCCACTGTGTCAAGATCCATGGCAGTGTTGGGTCTACGAATTTCACTCTTGGACTGGAAGGGTCTTCGGATTAAAGGCTAAAATATGCTAAAATCCAACATGTTCTGAGGACACTTACTCACCACTCGTTTGTTTTTCCCAACATACCTTTGACCTGTAATTTTGATCAATCGTCCCAAAACATGCGGGCAGGACCTTGGTCTGACAGATAGCCCCGGCCAGCAAGCCAGTTTTGCCCACGCCTGAGTCCTGACATTCTTCTGGATGTGGGTACCTGCGATGGGGACAATAAGATGTTGGAATACCAATTCTGTCCAGCTAAATCCCAGTGGCTACTATATCCCAGCATATTTCTTTAATATACTTTATCCATATTCCTTCCCATCTATATAATACATCGGTCAAGATATGATGCTCAATCAGCTAGCTTTTGTGCTCCCATGCTGTTTGGCTCCCCTAGTCCCTATTGTCGTCGGGGGCATGGAGGGCAGCATGCAAGAGGTGATGTGAATCACAAGTTTGCTTTGAGATGAAGGGCAATAGATTTGAATTTAAAGTGATATGTTTGGTCAGACTTTCGCCCTAGCACTGCCCCTCCTCTAGGCCCTCAGTCAAAAAGGCATTGGTCTTCCGACCACCAATGCAGCTCTAGGAGTCAAGAGCCACAGCACCTTACACGAAGGCTATCCCAGGTTGGCTGAACAAAGTTGGGGCAAAAATCAAACAAACAAACTTGAAAAAATAACAACATTGTTGAGATTGGGATGGAATGCCCCCCCTGCAAATTGCTGACTGTTGCATCCAGTCTACGAGCTTCCGCAGTTTGAAGGAACTTCGCAACTTCACCTTCAACAATACGACGATAATCATCCAAGGTGACATTCTTGGTCTTCGCAATCGACTTGAAAGCAAATTTCCACCAGTAGTGCTGCAGGGTCAGGGTTTGAGGTCAATGTTGGCCCAGGTCAACTTGTTTTTTTTACAAAAAATAATTCTCCCAAGCCCCAACAAAGTTTCCACCCAACCAACCTGAGTAGTATTGGAGCTGTCGATGTGCGGCGCCACCTTCGAGAGGTAGGTGGAAACCATGGCCACAAAGCGGTTCCTGGCTTCAGCACTGTCAGGAGGATACCTTCCAGCAAACGTTGAATTGCCACCAAGGAGGTTGTTCATCTCAGGATCTTGTTCTGGCTCATCAGGTTTGTCCTTGCCATCCTTCTTGTCCATGCTCTTACGATGTTTTTTCGGTTTCTCCACACCCTTCTTCTCCTTGCGCTTGGAGGTACTGTTGGTCGGTTCCGCATTTTTCTTCTTTTTTTCTTTTTTGGCTGCCTTAGAGTCTGGCACCTCCACGTTTGGACCTGTGTCATCCACCGCATCAAAAGCAGACTCCAAGTCACGGCGAGGGCAAGCGACAACCTCAACCTCATCAGTGGCCGCAGGTTGCTTGGGAGCCCGGCCGCCACGACCTCTCCCGCGACCTCTCCCGCGACCTCTTCCACGACCACGCGATTCTTCCTTCTCCTCCTTTGGGGCTTTGGCCATGGCAGCACCTTTCCAAGCATCTTGAGCTTCTCGTAAGACTGGGGGAACTGTTTGTCCATCGGAATCATCAGAGCTGACCTCCAGGTCACATCCATCAGGGCTAACCTCCGCAGGATTCAGCTGGGTCAATGAGATTTCATCCGCAGGTGACACAGGCATGGGACTGCCTGGACAGGCTGCCCCACCATCATGAGAAGGAACCACTTCAGGCTGTGGAGAATCGCCAAGAATCAGGGTGCTTTCCAATCGTTGAAGCTTCTTCTGAAAAACCATGATATCCTTCTCCGTAGCGGATCTGGAACAAGGGGGGGATTCTTGCTTCGAGAAGCCTTCAAACACTTCCATGACCTGTGTCTCAGTCATGGGCAGGGTCTCAGTAGCTTCCGTGCCTTCAGTGGGCCATACTTTCACCACAATATGTAAATTTTAAATGTCAACCCGTTTGTGTTTCTTTGTGAATTGTATCCCCCAGGTTGAAAGAGTGGAAAACATTGCGATTCTGAGTGCTGTCATGGGACCTGGTGGAACATCTGCATGCCCAGGTGTTGCGGAACGGCCCGAAGATGATGGAGCTGAAGAGGCACTCGGGCATCCAATGTTCTGCCTCATGGTGAGTGGGAGTCACTAACTTCATGACACTTACTAACTAATCCAACACCCTGCAATCATACAGTGTTTGCCAACATTTTGTAATATCATATGTTGTGTTTTACTTTTGTATATATATATATAATATATAATATGGTAATTCACTTTTGTATGTGCTACTGTATTGGCTTTCATACCATGGCATCCCAATCAACCAAACAGCTTAAGGCAACCAAAGAACTGGAGCAAAAGAATCCGGGCACGGACCCTGCGCGCAGTCTCATCATAGGATAGACCAGGGGCATAAGGGTCAAGGCTGTCCCCCAAGTCTGCGGCAACCCTCTTCTTCTCTGGCACCATGGATGGGGGCAGCATAGCCGAACTCATGGAAACTGGTTCTGACTCTTCACTTGGGTTTTCGATCGGTTCATGCACTGGGCTCAAGTAACATCCAGGGTCTGTTTGTGAGTCTTGAAATTCCTCATGGCTTGGTGTATCCATCAACGTGTCTGTTGAAACTGCTACAACCAAATCACCCGAGGTCACAGAGTCTACCATGATAGCATCATCTTCCCCACCATCTCTCGGATCCTCCACAACTGCTGCCTCTGGCGCTGGCACAGGTGCAGCAGCTGGAGCAGAAGAAGCTGCTCCTGAATCTGGATTCGGAGGCAAGGCCGATGGAACCGGGGCAGGACTAGGATCTGGTACAGGTGCGGCAGGTGCTGCCATGGCAGGTGCTGCGGCAGGTGCTGCGGCAGGTGCTGCGGCAGGCTGTGCTGCCGCAGCTGCATCGAGAGTCCAATTGGCTTCCAAGATAGCATAGAACTTCTGCAAAGATGGTTCCTAAGATCATGGTCAATCTTTGGTGGTCCACAAAAAATAAATGTTTTGATATGTTTTGCTGGTTGGGTATATTTTCCATTTGTAGCAACGAGCTAAAAGATTAAACTAGCTATCCAAGGTTGGGGATCAGATATTGAAGGGTTAAAAAACATTGGAATTTCATTACATGTTTAGGACCCTGGTTCAATATGATTCACTTGTGGTTTCCATACCTTATTCGCTAAGAAGATCATCATGGCACCCATCTCATTAATTCCCCTAAACCATGTGACACAGAAATAAACTGAGCAAAGATAGGGACGGGGCTCACTAGTATCACATCGGTCCTTGAAACGACGGATGCCATGCGAAAACAAAGACTTCAAGCCCTTGCCATCGACATGCACGATCACCGCATCCTTGGGGTTCTTGCCAAGCATTCGCCTCAATTCCTGCACCTTCAGGGAGAATCACGGGCAAGGGTTGACACCTACCAGTGGAACCTTTTTAATTCAGCACACCAACACTTTAGAAACACGATGTTTTACACAACCAGGCCTCCCGTCTCATGAGATCCACACCGGGGGGCTTAGGAACATCCATCCACTGCACCCACCATTCCGCCATGATTTCTAGTGCTGTTGAATTTAGGCCCATGGCCTTTACCGATTTCAAACCAACTGCATTTTTGTTTGGCCAACGTGTGAGTTGGCCACCCTCAGTTTCCATCACCCGGGCTCTCACTGATGCGTCTTTCTCCAGGCACTTTGCTAAGTCTCCGAGGGGGACATCTGGCATCTCAACGCCATCAAGCTGCTCGTCTGACATCCCCACCAAAGCAAGCAACCAACAGCCTTTAGACTTTACCTCTCCAAGATCCCAAATGGCTAGTGTATGACAAAGAGGTTGAACATAACTGGGGATGCCAATTATTTGGATGCTTCATTCATTTTGACATGTTGATTCTCAAGTTTGGCCAAATCCAAACCACTCAACGCATTCCCCCGGCCAGCATGCAGCGGTAGGGCACTTATCCAAGGCGAAGAGGGCGATAGCTTCATCGAAGCATGGGCGCACCACTCCGCCAGATCGGAAGAAGATGGAAAAAACTGATGGGATGGAGTGGGATTATGGTTTCAGGATGTTGCAGGGTTGATCTACTTGATTCAAACACTTGATCGATATAAATTCTGAATTGGTGATTGAAACTCCTTCGAACGTCTTCAAACCAGAACCCCTTGGTCATAACATCTTTGAGCCATTCCTGGAATTGTAGCCAAACCCACCAAAACTGGCTGAAACCTGAAAAAGATCCGCAGATCTTTTTTTCAGTGTCTCGTGAGGAAAAGTAACTTATCCCTCTGCAGACTGAAATTCAGCATACCTAGGAAGATGCAGGTATATATATATATATAATACACTTAAGGATTATTTCCGCATTGTCACTGGTGTTTTTTCAAATACCATATCATGTGGTTAAAAAAGAAATAAACCATCCTCCAGTCATCACCATATATATATATAATGTGGTGTAAAACATTCCCAGTCATGGGTAGTTTATGACATTGGGTTTACAGTTTACACCACCTATAAAAATGGTGATGACTGGAGGATGGTTTAAATGGTTTAACCACATTATACACATTGACTTTACACCACCAATCATAACCATAAAACATAGATATGGAGGAAATCATGACTGGAGGATTGGTTTACACATTAACCACATTGGACATTGGCTTTACATTTTACATCCCCATTTCACCACAGCTCAATTGTTGCGGGGTAAAAACATCGCTGGCAAAACAGTCACTTGGGATCATCCCAAATCAAGCCGATTTGAGATTTCCGAAGCAACCACATTTTTTGGGGCACCGTGAAAGAAACCCGAAATGTCGTCCCGAAATAAACACAGACTTAGTCAGATAATCGGATTTCACATATATCACATATGTATATATATATATATATGTATGCGTGTGTGTGTATCATATTATAGTATGTATATATATATATATATCATATAATTATTCTTATGTTTATTATCATTATTATCATTATCATTAGTATTACTATTATTAGTATTATCATTATTATTATCATCATTATTATTATCATCATTATTAGTATTATTATTATTATCATTATTATTTTCATTATAATTGTTACCATTATTATTATTAGTATCATTATTATTATCATTATTAGTGCCACTATGATTATCATTATTATTATCATCATTATCATTATATTTATCATCATTATTATCATTATCATTATTATTATATATAAAATGCATGACCTGTAATCATCAACCAACAGGGGGCTTTTTCACGCTGTCCTGAGATCCCCAGCATCGTGGAGGCTTCACTTCGTTTGGTGCCTCGAAGTACATGGCCATCCGGGCAGCACTCGAAGTCCGCAGCCTCGAACCTGGGTGTCGTCTGGCCATGAAAAAAGAGGACAATGATGGGACAATGGTGGAATAATGGTGGAATAATGATGGGAAATGCAAAATGATGGGAAAGTGATGGGAAAATGATGGGACAATTATGGGAAAATGGTGGAAAACGGTAGGAAAATGATGGGAAAATGATTGGAAAATGATGGGAACATGATGGGACAATTATGGGACAATTATGGGAAAATGATGGAAAACGGTGGGAAATGATGGGAAAATGATGAGGAAATAATGACTGACTAACTTAATATTAAGCCTCAAATTTGAGGTGGTACCAAGAAATATACCATGAAATATACCATATTTTGAGACAAAGCCAGCCTTAGACCATCCCCTTTGATGGAAAAATGATGACCCAACGTTTGCCCATGGATTCGAATGGATGGACATTGCTTTTCTTGTTGGATTCCAGTCCATGGGCAATGCGCTCCTACCCAGGGCTTTTCCAAAGTCCTTCTGAGATCAAATCCAAACCATCCAAATGGGTGGAGATTCACAAATGAAAACCATCCGTTCACCGTTCGCTTCCCAAGTTTGGGTTTGGTTCAGATTCCTTGGAGAAAAAACACGGAAAAAACACCAAACTGGTCCAGAAAAGCTTCACAATGGATCGGATTCACAAAAACAATCTGCAGAACATTCGGTTGGAAAATCATCTGGAGATGGGCCATCACTGAACATCAACTGGCACGAAACATCTGCAAAAAACCCATGGCCCCATGGCATTCATCCCAAGCAAAGAACTCCCCCTTTCACCAGCTCACCAGCAGAGATCACCTGGAAATTCCACCGGGGGATGCAAAAGGGCCCGCCATGGCCAGGTGACTGAACCAAAGCTATCCAAAAATCACCATTTGGTTCTCCAAAACTCACCAAAACTCACCAAAGTTAGATCTACTTAGTCTACTTATGTCTACTTCATGTGACTGGACCTCGCAGATTTCCACCAGAAATCAACCGGGCGTCCCGCCGCGTCCCGCCCTGCCCTAAGCCCCCCAGCCCGGAACAGTTCTTCCCCGTGCGCACGGGGGTGCCACTGCTGCAGTAGGCCGCCTCGAAAGGCTAATGCGATGGAAATCACATGCTCGTCTATGATTGTTACGTGGTTCTCAACATATTATTGTCATACTGTTGTAATAGAAACATAGATATGATAAACACTATATATATATATATGTATATAATAATGGAACCGTAGATACACATATAGTTATGAGATGTCATGAGCTCATGGCATTCTTCATACCAAAAGAGAAATATGGGGACTTTGACCAATGTAGATGCAGGCACCAACTGCTAAGTTGGGCGCCCAAAACAGTAGAGTCAGTAGAGTTATATTAATAGAACCCTCAGAAATGGCGATATCGTTTCTTGTTTGTTTGTTTGTTCGTTCGTTCGTTTGTGTTAGATATGACTGTCACTCTGCACTCCACTGCACAGTACACTGAATCTACTGCACTGCCAAACTATGGTTTGGCTCAAGCCTGGTTCAAGACACTAGGAACTCAACTGACGCTGTGAGACGTTGTACTGTGACTGATAGACTGGCGTGAGTGAAAACTAGAAGCTGACTGATACTGCACTGTTTGGTGGACTTGAAAGTGAACTTGACGCTTCGCATGGTAGCGGAGCTACCTGGCTCCTACTGTGCTTGAAGACTTCGGCGGTGCTGGCGGTGGAAGAGTAGAACTGTACCACACTGCAACTCACAGTAGGAAATGGCGACCTTTGGAGACAGTGGAACTCTAGGTGGAAACTCGCGACTCCCACTACCTGAAAGTTTCGATGGAACTATGGAGAAATGGGAAGACTGGTCATGGCATGTGAGAAGCTACGTTTCTATGTTCAAAGAACATGTACTGAGAGTCATGGATGCTGCTGAGGAAGCCACTTCGGTCATCACTGATGACGCTGTACAGACCATAGAAGACAATGCAGTTGAACTCACTGGCCTCATAGCTTTTAGTAGACCGCTGCACTACTTGCTCAGCCTGATCACTAAGAGTAGTGCTAGACTGGTAGTTCGAGGTAACTTGGGACTGAACGGGTTTGAGACTTGGCGCTTACTGTCACGTAGATTTGCGCTTCCAAGTACTGCAAACAACATTAGTCTCTTGACCAAGGTGCTTGAGTTTCGATACTGAATGGGAACAACTGAAGAACAGGTACGAACGTCAAACTGGAACTGCCCTGCCGGACAGCATACTGGTAGCAACACTGTTGAACAAGACGTCGGGATCACTGCAACAACACCTCAGACTGAACGTGAGGACACTGGATACGTATGACACTGTTAGGAATGTGATACTGGACTACTACCAATCGCGTCATGTTGTGAAAAGCGACACTCAAACACCAATGGACATAGGAGCCATGTGGAAGAAAGGTAAAGGAAAAGGCAAAGGAAGAGTAGGACTGTACCCCTTTGGCCATAAAGGAAAGGGAAGAGTAGGACTGTACCCCCTGAAAGGAAAAGGAAAAATGAAAGGAAAAGGTAAGACTGGAATGAACTACAAAGGCAAAGGTGACAAAGGCAAAGGAGATAGACAAAAATGCTGGAACTGTGGTAACTTCGGACACTTCAGTAAAGACTGTAAGATGATGGTGAACGGAGTTGACTATGTGACTGACGATACTCAGGAAGAATGGACTGAAGAAGAGTGGAATGACTGGTTATGTTCAGTATCTGAAGAGTGGTATGAGAATCAGTACTATGAGGACTGGACAGATTGGACGGACTGGACTGACTGGAGTGACGACTGGACTGGATACTGGCATGAACAGAATTGGCCAGATGCTCAGACTGTCGGACACCCAACTGGATCCAACGACGCGAACTTAGTTTCACAGCCGGCCACTCAGAACTTAGCTTCGGGTGCTCAACCGTCTGCGCCCACTGCTACTGTTTCTGCAGTTAGTTTCGACCCTGAGAGCCTGGAAAGCACTGGCTCGACTTTGACCAACAGGAGTACTGTTCGA